CAGACAAAATTCCACGCGGGCGATGCCGCGGGCGGAAAGCTAGTTAATTATAAAGGTAAATCAGGCTGTTATGCTTTTACATAATTAATGCTATACAAAAAACAATTTAAACTGCCTGCATCCGATACTATCCGAAACTTTTAAATCGGTTACGGTTTCGGATATTTTTTTATTTTGCATATCCGTAAATTTCGGTTACGGTTACGGATATCCATAACATCCCTGTTCTGCAGTAGAGACTAATATAATATCCTGGTGATATTAATCACTGGCCAACTCATTTAACATTAACTTAATATGTATATGACGTTACACCTTCCGTAACTTTGTCAGTCAGTAGGCTAAAACCTTTTTGTCGGTTAAGGAAACTAACTTTATGTACCTATTAAAAACACCTTGACAGACATACATTAGGATTATCATTAGCAACATTACTTTTTGCCGTAATTTGGTACCGATAGCATCAATGAATTTTAAAACGGTTTATTTTCAAACGTAACTGTCATTCGACAATTCCATTTTAGTCGTTCGATATTCAAATCGACGTTCTTTTTTCAAATTTATTGCCGTTACGGTTACACTGACATTCTTTAATGGAATTGCAACACCGACGCGTAATGGAAATATATCCTACAATGTTGCAATATTGACTGATTGACATAAAAACGACAAATTCCAGCCTATTAACATTTTGATGATAATTTTAACGCTCAGTTTTTTAATGGACGAATTAATGCTTTAAAATGTAAGTTGCTAATAAGTTGCGTAACGGGAAAGCCAATTTAAATGCATGCGTTTTTTTTAAACATTGAAGTCATGGTTACCTGTGAGAAAACCCACACTATAGACTTCTATTGTCTAGTTTCGCTTAAAGATCGCTTTCATCATCATCATCATTTCAGCCATAAGACGTCAACTGCTGAGCATAGGCCCCCCCAATACTTCGCATGTTGATCGATTGGTAGCGGCCTGCGTCCAGCGCTTCCCTGCTACCTTTAAGATGTCGTCGGAAAACGCATAGTGGTATTGCTGCGGTCAATTACTTTAAATTATTGCTATGTAATTCAGTAATTAAAAGCCATAATATTTACTAGTTTTAGTTGTGTTACGACCTCCACACTCAGAACCTTGCTGCCCCATCGGCCGTCAATTCTTCATACTACATAGTACATAGCTTGCTAATCTGACGGGCTATGTCAGCGACTTTAGTTTTGTTGTAGTTAAACACTTAATATTTTTTTTTTTATTAGGCCTATTAAAATATCTAACTAGACGAACGCTATTCAAAAATAGCCATTTCATCTCCCGGATACTGGATAATCCCAGAACAAAAGTAGCTACCAAGCTTATTAACATAAACCATTGTTTAAGTTCTAACAAAACTATCCCTATAGATACGGTCATCAAAATAATAATAAACCAAAGCCAGGTGTCCATTAGATTTACTGCAAAAAACGCTCAATAGTCCATTGTGGCTACACTGACCCTACTTGCTGCCCTGCAAAGTCAGAACTCAACAATAAAAATCAANAAAATCAACTTTACCCCTCTGATTTTAAAGCCGGGATTTGTCTGAACTTTTTTGATAAGGTAAGGGCGCCTATTGTGGTCATACCCTACTATTGACACAGCATAATGAGTACAAAAAGTACATGCTTTGTTCTTCCGAAAGGGTTGGTCAGGTAAACAGCTGCTCCTTGATCCCTGACCCTAAGGTCGAGAAGGACGAATGACAATGGTCTCGGTCTAGCATGTGCAAGGATTTAATCTGTATTAATAGGGTCAGAGCTATTATTTTATTATTAGTTTGGCGAATCGGTGACCGAAAGTGGAGTGAATTTGACGTCGAAAGTAATTGGCATGTTAATACATTTTATATAAAGGACAGGCATAAAGGACATTTTGTTCGATAGATCTCGATAAAAATAAGTATATGACTGAGGCTTTAATGGCAGCACGTTCCATAATTTAATAAGCATGTTAAGTTGACAATCATCCAGTTGACTTACGTTCCTAAAACTAAAATAAAAAACAAATAATATTTATTTACAATAATTATTATATTATTCTTGTTTCTTATCGAAATTTTATACATAGTAAATTATTTTTACAACAAATAACTTTTTAGCGTCCCTAACTATGTTAATTATTATTTTTGATATTACAATTATGTATTTTTTTAATTAATAACCAATGATTTTCTATATTAATAACACTTTGTTAATTTCTCTTTTGTAAAAATAAAACCAATTTCAATAATTAATATTTTATCAAAGTCCAAAATTCGCAAACTTAGGCGCCATCTATAGACAAAAGCATGAAGCTATAAAGCGCCATCTATAACATTTTCAAAGACTCTATAAAACGCCATCTACTGCATTACAGTGCAACTAATTGGTTCAACGAAACTAATGTACGTTACCAAAAACGATAACAGATGGCAGAAGTTGTAAGAGTTTATTGCGCAAAGGGGGAATAAACTCTAACTGAAATATTAAAGGGTAAAGTATGAAATTGCCATTTTTTTAGGGTTCTGTAGACCTCACAAGAAACTACTGCTAGCACTAGAAAGCTGTGTTGTAGAGGTAACCGATATACAAGATGGTAGAATAAAATTTTGAAAAATATTTTTCGGTGCAGTCCTGTTGTCCCCCCTGCTTGGCCCCCCTGGGGGAGCCAACAGGATTTCGAAATCCTGTTGTCCCCCCTGGCTAGGGGAGACAACAGGACTAGATTTTTAATCAATGATTTGAGGACTGTTGTCCCCCCTGGAAAACATTGGGTATTTCGTCGTTTCAGCCAAATGACGTCCACTGCTGGACAAAGGCCTCCTCCAAGGTTTTCCACAATGCACGGTCCTGCGCTGCCCGCATCCAGGCTCTTCCCGCGACCTTTACCAGATCGTCGGTCCACCTAGCTAGTAGGAGGCCTGCCCACGCTACGTCTTCCAGCCCGTGGTCGCCACTCGAGAACTTTTCTGCCCCAACGGCCATCGTCTCTACGAGCTATGTGCCCCGCCCACTGCCACTTGGTTTTAGCAATTCTGCGAGCTATGTCGGTCACTTTGGTTCTCCTGCGGATCTCCTCATTTCTGATTCGATCACGCAGGGAAACTCCAAGCATGGCCCGCTCCATCGCCCTTTGGGTGACCTTGAGCCTTCTTATGAGGCCCATAGTAAGCGACCACGTTTCGGATCCATAAATCAACACTGGCAGCACACACTTCCAATCAACATTGGGTATTTAGAAGACATATATTTTTGTAATATTTAAGAAGTACTGGAGTACCTACCTGACTAAATGCCATATTGACAAACTAAATACCTAAACGTATGTCAAATAATAATTAAAATCTTGTTAACGAAAGAATGAGTATATAAGTTGTTGGTAGATACCGGTAATATTTCTGACTATTCCAAAATCTGCGACAGTACTTTATCTGTCTGTTACGTATTCACGCATAAACCATTGAACCGATTTTGATATTTGGTAAAGAGATAGTTTTGAGTGCCGGGTCCCGGTTTTTTAAACAGGAATGCGCTCTATATTTTTTCTGTGACAGACAAAATTTTACGCGGACAAAGCCGTGGGCAAAAGCTAAGTATAATGCTTGACAATATTTTTTATTCTCATGTATAAAAAATATTGCCTTCTGTAAAGTTGACTAAAAATCCGTTTAGTAGGTAGTTTTTACGTGAAAGAGTATCAAACATCTATACTATTCCATACTCCCATTTGTAATACATATTAGTAGGTAGGACGCTAAAACTGCATAATTTTAAATTAGTCATAATATTCCACAAATTAATTGCTCAGTGATTCATCATTCAACTAGCGGCCGCCCACATCTTCGTACCTACGCGTGGAGCCCGTTTTACCCCCTTATGTGTGGAATTCTGTAAAATCCTATATCTTTTGTATTATTTCCTATACTTAAATAAATAGATAAATAAAATTCGTTCTTGGCAGCCTGTCTCATCTGTGCTTGGCAGATGTCTACACCCTATAAGGAACCTACCTGCCAAATTTCAAGTTTGTAGGTGTCAACCAACCTTATTTTTTTCGTTATCAAACTGATAATTATTATTTAACAAACGTTTAAGTATTCACTCATTTTGGGAATTTAGCATTCAGTCAAGTACTTCAGTCTTTCACAAATTATATTATAAAAATACATGGCTTTTAAATAATGTTTTCCAGGGGGGACAACAGTCCTCAAATCATTGATTGAAAATCTAGTCCTGTTGTCTCCCCTAGCCAGGGGGGACAACAGGATTTCGAAATCCTGTTGGCTCCCCCAGGGGGGCCAAGCAGGGGGACAACAGGACTGCACCTATTTTTCTAGGGTTTTAATTTAGGTTTTTTCATTGTCTATCTACCCCATCGTGTAAAGTATCGTTGGATATAGGTCCTTTAAACAGCTTGAAAAGTCAGGAAAAATTATGGAACGCTAATACACTGCGCGTGGCACGACACGCATTGGCCGGTTTTTTCTTCAATATTCATAAGTATTGATTCCTTGAATACCTACAATGCCTGCAAGTCTTTTTCTATTTTAAACTTCATTTCAAGGACTTCTAAATAAAGTCCATCCAACATCGCAAACGCACACATGTCGTGTATCTACGATATTTTTTATACTAATTGACAATGTTGTTAGGTTCCTTGAGAAATGTTTAGGTAACTTACCTAAACATTTCAAGGAACTTGGGTGTACTTACCTAAGGTAAGTACACGGAGTACACCCAAGTTTGCACCCTTGGCCCTGTGCTATTCCCATAGTGCTCAAAAATCTGGGACATTTTTGCAACCAAGCTCTATAAACCTGCTGGTGAGCTGCGGTTGGTGATAAAAAAATTCAAATTAATGAACTTTAAATAAATAACATTAATTGTTTACTAACCACAATTTTTTATGGCTTTAAGAATAAAACTTGTCTGTTTTAAAAAAGGTTTATTTGTATCCAAAGGAATTACAATTTTATTCAGCATTGTTTAAAGAAAATAACAAAACAACGTTTTTCTTTTGTAATCCTTAATACATGTAATGACTAATTACATATTTTATATTAAATTGTACATTTACATTTACTTAGTACACATAATTAGATGTTAGTCGAACTACACACCTTTGACTAAATAAACAAAACTTTTTTATACACAGTTAAATTCATTTATTACCAATCCATTCAGTTTAAAGGCTAAGCTTACCCTAACACCCTGTATACAATAAATAGCTTTGCATAAGAAATAAAAACCAGTAATAATGATATTTTTTCAATTTTTGAACTAATAAAGAAAAAATTGGTTTTCGCTAGTATCACTCAATTACATAACCGCATCTGATGAATTAAGTATGTATTATGAATAACCCAATAAATTATTATCACAATGAAATATTCGCCATTTTGCTACTCTTCTTAGAATAGAAAAAAACAATTATCTACCTACTTAAAATACAATAATAATGTTAGTGAAGTAAATAACTATTTCTTATTTCTATATTTTCATAGAAAACATTTACCTACTTAATTAATTTTATTTGTTGCTTCTTCTTCTTGTCGTGTCGACAAAACAAACCTACAGTATCAGCCCAAAACTGAATCAAAACAAAAAATCCTGCGTTTAATTCATTTGTTGCTAATTACAGTCCTCTAAAAAGACTTCTCAACAATTTCTTAACATAATCGTTTTCCCGCTTCAACCCTTTCTTTCCCAAATAATATGGAAATGCATTAGTCGTTGAAAGGTAGTAAATTCCCGGTTTCGACTTGTCCACGTTAAGTCCTAAAACATTTGTTACTTGAGGCACATTGTCATAGCAAACTCTGAACCTGGCCTGCTGAACTGAGTCACATTTCATAGCGATGAATCCTTTCGGGTTCTCTAACGCAGCCATCCATATTAGGAACGATTTGATATGGCTGCACAATATGTTGCATGGGAAGTAGGTTAGGTCAGCTACTTGGTACTCGCCCCCATTGACATAGAAATTAACATGTCCGATCGGAGCGGCCATACCGTACCCGTCAATATTGGTCAGAACTGTATCCACGAAATCCGCGTCAGATTCGTCCAGCCTATATTCAGGGTCCGCGTTTCTGAAGCATGGCCCAGAAGGATCGAGACCGGTTATCCTGCTGACCTTTGTGCCAGTTAACTGGTAGTATGCCTTGCCTATATAGCCGACGATGTGGGCTCCAAGGCTGATTCCGAGGAGTTCCGTCTTGGTTGGGTCCAAGAGCCCTCTTGCGGTCATATCCGCCATCACTTCTGCTATGTAGGCTGCCACGTCGCGGATCGCTAGCGCAATACTGCAACAAATTAAAGTTATTCGAAACATTCGACGCTTGACCGTTATCGATTCAATCAAGATTTGAACGCCTATCAATAGGAAACATATAGGGAAATTTCTTGAAAAGCCTACAAACGTTATAATTATTATTTATTACATACAATACAAGTAATACAACTACATACTTATGAACCACAATGTAACCTTTCTGTAGGTGAATTTTTTTGAGAAAGTTAAAAAAGCATTACCTAACTAAATGCTTTACCCAAAACATTAGAAAGGTACCTAATATCATGTTGTGTAGTATTGTTTTCCTTGTAGAAAGTGAAAATTTTTAGATTCTTTTTTAAGGCGTTAGCTTCAATGATGTGAATTCACTTTTGGCTGAGGCAATGAAATGTGTAAATCTATTCCACCATCATTCCTCATCTATTTCACCATTCATCCGCCTATAAAATTACCAAATTCATTACTCACGTAGGATATATCCCGACGTGGAAATAAAGGGAATCCAGCACCCATACATTATATCCTAAATCTTTGTAATGTCTATCAATGGCTCTTCCATCCAGCAAGGGGCTGCTTACATATCCACCCGCGTAGATGATGGTCTTCTTAGTCCAGTCCATATGAGGGCTTTTCGCCAAAAGATCAGTCTGGAAGTAGTTGTATATGATCTTTTTAGAAGATTTTGCTCCATTTACTACGAAAAGGAGGTGATCCAGTTCTTTCTTTGGTATCGATACTGTTTTGTTTGTTGGACCTGAAATGTACAATGTAATTGTTAATAATTGAGTTCTTTACAATAAAAAGTAGATCATCTAAATATACGAGTGTAGGAACGGCACGCAAGGGAGTGAGTGAGAGGGAACGAATGAGTGAGGGAGTAAGAAAGACGTGATTTCAAGGGCAAGACGATTTGTATTAAGACGGTTGACTTTCCTATTTTTTGTGGTTTTTATCCTGGAGAAAATACAAATAAAGCTGAAGAAATACACCCTGAATTTCAATTCCTACAGCTTTATATAACTCAAAGGTGACTGACTGACTGACTGACATAGTGATCTATCAATGCACAGCCCAAACCACTGGACGGATCGGGCTGAAATTTGGCATGCAGGTAGATGTTATGACGTAGGCATCCGCTAAGAAAGGATTTTACGAAACTCCATCCCTAAGGGGGTAAAACGGGATCCACGCGTACGAAGTCGCGGGCGGCCGACAGTTTTAAATAAACAACTTGAAAAATTCGAACTGCCTAAGGCGGGAATCTGGAAGTAGTTGTATAATATGATCTTTTTAGAAGATTCGAATCGAACCCTTGACCTTTCGCTTGCCATGCAACTGCTCTTCCAACTGAGCTACTTAGACACTGAGTGAAGGTAGATTAAAATCATCATCAATTCAGCCATAGGATGTCCACTGCTGAATATAGGCTTCCCCCAATGATTTCCACAATGGCCGGTTGGTAGCGGCCTTTTTTTTTTTTTTTTACCCAGGAAAGTGGCCTATCCATACCTACCGCCGGGGGACGGCAGGTTATGTGGGGCTCGAACCCACTAAAAACCTGGGGTGTTCCCTCTGCCGCATAGTGGTCGGCGCCTTGGGTACTAGAAACGACCAAGGCGCCTTCCGCGGACGTCCCGCCCTACATGGCGGGACCCAACACGCCCCCACTTAATGGGGGGCCGACAGGATTCACCACGANAGCCGGGACCACGAGGCCAATCCCGTCCGGTTGGTAGCGGCCTGCATCAAGCACCTTCCTGCTATCTTTATGAGTTTTTACTCATATTGATAGCAGGAAGGCGCTGCCTAGATGCCTATTTATAAAAAGGCTGAGTTTTAAGATAAACGAAAGATTAAGTGCAGAGCAATTGAGCATGGCAGCAGATTGTTTGAAGACAGCTATTTTATGTTGTGTAAAACATTGTATTCTTTTTAATATTTAATAATCATGTTTAAAAAAGATATTCATTTGCATAACTAATGAAAAAAAAAGGAAAGAGCGTGACCCTCTAAGATAGTTCAGACAGAGCTATATTTTTAAAGAATATTAGTTGCCATGGCAATCACAGTTTTTTTTAATAACAGTTCCGAACCTAAACCCCGTTTTCCATCACCATAGGAACGATGGATATAGGATTGAATTTCCACCGAGAAATAATTTGGTTGGTATTGAATATTGATTTGACGAACGATCTAATTTTGCCCTCTTTTTTATTTTCTCGACTTTTTGTTGGTGGAAACAGATATATTATAAGTAAAATAATAAGACACGGGTCATAACGCGACGTTTATTAATGAGTTACATTTTGTACTCACGCGGCTTGACGTTTCGGCTGCGATGCTGCAGCCATGGTCACAAGCAGACTGACGTCGCGTTAAGACCCGTGTCTTACAATTTTAGTTGAAATGGAACGCGAAAGTTTAAAATCTAATATAATTATGAGTGTTTTTGTATTGCGAGGTAAACATAGTCATTGATGAGCTCGCCTCGTTCCGCTTGCAGTGAAAAACGGACCTAGGTTAGTTAAAAGGTTTGTTGATGAAATTGATCATAAATTATTATGGACGTCGTAATCGTAACCGTATCAGCTCGAGGCAGTCAGTATTCTTTGTATGAAACTCCATACTACAAAGCACACTTATCCGCACCGTTTGGTTGGTTTTCATTAAAAATGATCTGACAACATTTTTAATTGTCATGAACCACAGTCGAAAACATGTGATTGCAGATTACCATTAACATTATTTATCATGATGATGCTAAAGACAACATTCAAATCTAGGTATGCTATTTATTTTGATGCTGCTAGACTATACGTATACACTTAAAAATCCTTTAGCTTCAATTAGTAAAGACGTACGTCTTATTAGACCATCTGTGTACAAAACTGATAAACGACCAAGAAAAGCCATACATGGCTAGACACCTTACAATATTTGAGAAAATATTAACATGACAGGATAAATAAATACGTCATGTCAAACGGGGGGAAGTGTGAATTTGTCAAACAAAACAAACATAAAAAACAATGAATAAGTAAATAAACTTGCTTGTTTTTTCTTGACAAATAAATACCTACTAATTTTAGGTTAGGAAGGTTAAATTTAAAGACGCAAGATGGATTCTCGTTTGCACGTAAACGATACGTAGGTACAAGGGGTCCCCTACGTAATTTCGAATGCCGCTGTAGCGATGAACGCTGAACGAATTTTTCTTCCACTGCCCTTGGGGTTTATTCGTCCAAGCCACTGCCTCATAGTTTTGAAAGCATGGACTCTGTGGCGACACCGACGATACGCCACTACAAACTGTGTACCAACAGATGGCGCTGTCACTACTACACTATGGCACACTCCGCCGCTCATACAAACCTGCATCGCGGTGACGGAGTTTTATATCCTGCCAAATATAGATAGACAAACCAAGATGGTGTAAATTGGACCTTGGTCCCCGAGCACAACACCCGCTCAGAAGGAAGCACTAACATCTAGCTTCCTTATTGTGGTTGAGCATCATATCCCACAGACTCCAATGACGTAGTCTCGAAAGACGCTGTTTCGAAGAACACAGAATTTTCAAATTTTCATTCTCCTGTAGGTATGATCAATCGTTGACCGTAATGTAAAAGCTTTATTCACATTAAAAATCAAAGCTCTACGACTTTATTTTAGGGTGGCGCACTAGGGGAGTAATTTGTAAAAATAATAAATTTTCGCCTCGGTGTACTTCCAAGTTACTGTGTTATTGTAACTATAATATCATAAAACTTTAATTATTTCGACTCACTATCGCGCTATATTCTAAAAATTACTCGTCATCAGGTGCTAAGGACAAGTGCAATAATAGGTGTTAATATTCATCTGTAAAATTCCAAAATTTCGAAAAAACTTTTAAGTTTAACTTGAAAGGAGATTCGAACTAAGATATTCTTTGTTTACTTTGTTAATTTGTTTATTGGATGCGGACAGCGCAGGTCCGTTTGTTGTGGAAAACCCTGGGGGAGTTTTTTGTCCAGAAATGGACGTCATTATTTGGCTGAAACAAACTCTACATCGACCTGCGTCGAGCGCTTTCCTGCTACCTTTATGATGTCGTCGGTCCACCTTGTGGGTGGACCAACCGGGTAACATGGAAAGCATTGGGGATTGGGGGAGGCCTATATTCAGCAGTGGCTGAGATGATGATGATGATGATAATGAAACTCTACATCAATATTTTCAATTTTCAAATAAGTTACCAATATCTACATTTACATAGGAATTTCAGGGTTTTTCTGCAACGGACACTGTTACCGCCCACTATAACTGTATTTGACTCTTTACTATTTTTTGTTAATAAATACCATAGGGTGGTTGACTCAACTACTTTTTATGAGCTCATTAGATTTTGTATGGCAAAAAGATATTATGATGTCACCAGTTGACTATTTTACAGCGAAAACCAAATTTTTTTTATGCATAACAAGGCAGATAATTTCAGACAAATTGATTTTCAGTTGTTTTAAAGAAGTTGTCTCTAAAGGATTTTCCACAGTGGCTGTGTTTTTCGTTCTACTGTCAGGTCAAAGTGTATGATGTTATTATAGTTCCAATATACTAAACTGTCCTATCCATGACATTGACAGCGGGGCGCCACCGTCAATACCGGATCGTTGGTTCCGATTTTTGCCATGATGGAAACCATATAGTTGAACGATGGTTGCGCCCCCTTGTCATTGAATTTGGTGGGACAGTTCAGCGTGGGCCATCTATAACAATGTTGTCGGTCAGCGGTCCAGGCAGAATCTGTCAGCGGTCGTGACAAGGCAATCTGTAAGCGGTGCAGTTTGCGTTGTTTGTTCAATGCAAAATATTGTAGAGACCTAAAATGTTCATACATGACCTGACCGCTGACCGCAGATCGTATCCAGTATGGCAAATTCTTTAAAATTGATTAGTTCATTTCAATCAAAAACCGTCCTTTGTTGGACAAAGGCCTCTCCCACGGATTCCCAAAACGACCGGTCCAGCGCTGCCCGCATCCAGGTTCTTCCCGCGACCTTCACCAGATCGTCAGTCTACCGAGTGGAAGGCCTGCCTACTACGTTTTCCAGTCCGTGGTCGCCATTCGAGACATTTTCTACTCCAGTGTAGAGTGGTATTGCTGGGGTCAATTACTTCAAATTACTGCTTTGTAATTGGAGCGAGCTATGCTTGGAGTTTCCCTGCGTGATCGAATCAGAAATGAGGAGATCCGCAGGAGAACCAATGTGACCGACATAGCTCGCAGAATTGCTAAAATCAAGTGGCAGTGGGCGGGACACATAGCTCGTAGAGACGATGGCCATTGGGGCAGAAAAGTTCTCGAGTGGCGACCACGGGCTGGAAGACGTAGCGTGGGCAGGCCTCCTACTAGGTGGACCGACGATCTGGTAAAGGTCGCGGGAAGAGCCTGGATGCGGGCAGCGCAGGACCGTGCATTGTGGAAAACCTTGGAGGAGGCCTTTGTCCAGCAGTGGACGTCATTTGGCTGAAACGATCGAACGAATTGGGTAATTATAAGCCATATATTTACTAGTTTTAGTTGTATGAGAATAAAAAAAAACTATGACCTTTTCAATAATATTGTTAAAAAAAAATTATCCTTCATAATTTGGCGTGTACGCCTCCTATTGTCTCTTCTTAATAGGAAGTAGGTATATGTTACTTAATGTATCGACATGTTTATTCAACAGTCCTTCTGTACATACCCGAGTCAATGACATTGACATAAAATTAAGAATATTTTCTTCCTGGCACGACAGTGTACCTAGATTTTTTTTTCTAAATAAATATTATCTTTAGACAATTTCACACAGCGCTATCTAGCCCCAAAGTAAACAGTTTATAATTTCTGTATTATTCGTTCGTTTCAGCCAAATGACGTCCACTGCTGGACTTTCCATAACGACATAATTTATATTCTTATGTGGTATAAATTAGCTTGTTTTTTTTACTTTTTTAACGAGCTTAAAAATTTGCCGAGTGCGTGTGCGTCACACGTGTAACTAACTGATCTATCTTAACCATTACCCTCATTACAAAAAGTTAGACTCACTTTGAACCTTGGTTTAAATTGACATTTAGTATGGAAATGTCATTTTAAACCAGAGTTCGTCCCGGGTTTAATTTTTTTGTAATAAGGCCCTTATAGTTTTCCTTAAAAGTTCATGAAAAGCACTATTATCGTGAATTTTATCAGATTTTTCAAGCCAATAATTTAGCTTTTCGAGGCGGGAGGCCGTACTCGAACAAAAATTAGCACTCTAAAATTAAATATTTCACAAACGGATCCCTAAATCGAAAAAAAGTCTTAGCAACCCCTAAGTCCTTTTTAAAGGACCCATTCAAAGATACCTTAAACTATGGGGTGAAAAACATAAAAAACCATCACAGACAAAAATTTATTCAGTCGGTGCCGGTAAATTTTGAATATTTCTTGAGCTTGGCACTAAGCGGGCTGGCACCGCGTGCACCGCCTCCGAGTCAATCAAAGTACACATACGAGTTTGTCTAAATAAATAACGTAACATTTTTTTTACCTTTTAGTGCACTTTGTTATAGTGTTTTTTTTATAATACAATTTTAAAACTTTTTAACTACTAGATCTAGGACATAAGATGGTCATAAAAGCCGTTATTCGTGTATTATAAAACGGTATAAAATAGCTTTGAGTAGGTATCTATTATTTTATTCACCTATTTGGGAACTTCCTACTACTGGATACAGTTAGGGATACGGCGTTCGTGCTGAAAAAAATTACATTCTGGCGCGACCAGTGACCACGCCGAAACCGTGTTGTTTTGATGATTTTTTTACCTTTATTTTGTGAATTATAAACTATCTAGATTTTAACGATAGGTACGTTGGTTGTAAATATTCCAAATTATTTAATACCGTTTTAAATTCCCCAAAACAACGCTAATTTCGGCGTGGTCGTGCCAGGAAGTTATTCTTTTCAGAAATTAATTATTAGTTTTTTTTTTCAAGTATAACCTACAAATATTTTTGAATATGTAAGTACTTACAATCTCCCAAATATCCTGAAGGGTATCCTTCCAGAGCTTTACTGCTGTACATTGCATTTGACACTGCAAAAATACTGGCCACAATTAACTGACCACAAAAAAAATAAAATGGACCCATTTTTTCACAAAAAAATAATACGCTGTTGACAAGAAACGTCAAGTTTTTAAACGTTTCAAATTTGGAATGGGTTTCCCGCCAAAAGTTTGCACACGTCCAATGTCAACAGTCGATAGTCACAGTATGCATCATCGCCCAGTGCAGGAACTTCTTTTAAACTTTGGCCTAACGGTGATCATCTTTTAAGCGGTTAAATGACTCGCTTAGACTTATTTTTAGCGAGAATTTAAGATAGTACCTAATTATGTAGTTAAAATAACTCTTTGAATGGTCATCATATGGAAATGTAACGGTCACCAAGAAACAATGGTTATATGTACAGTCAGCGTCAAAAAGTTCATGCATTTTTTTTAATGCATAACAAGGCAGGTATTTGACCACAATCGCACCTGATGTTAAGTGGGATGCAGTCTAGGATGGTACATATCTGCCCTGTAAGTGCTTATTCACTCTCGCCTTGAAGAGGCCCGGATTATAGTTTTCGGGAAAGACAGCAGCAGGCAACGAATTCCAGTCCCTAGCTGTTCGCATTATAAAAGAGTCATCGAAACGCTTAGTGCGAGCTGGTGGAATGTCAACAATATAGGGATGGTACGCTAACCTGCGTCTGGTTCCCCGATGATGGAAGGGGGCTGGTGGAATTAATTCGTGTAATTCTTTCGCACATTCTCCGAAGTGTAGCCTGTAGAAAACCGATAGGGATGCTACCTTACGGCGATGGTCAATGTATGGCATGTATGGCATGACACCCAAAAGTAGCCATTAAGTTCGCAACACGTCTTTGTTACATTGGAATAAGGTTGTGTTGTCAACTTTTTGGCCACTTTGGGTGTCACTATTTGACGCTGACTGTACCTAAAGTCGACAGCACATCAGATATATATCTGTTGGTAAAATAGCTCGTATTACAAGTAACATAAGGTTCAGTGTTTAGGTTGACCTGCCCACTGCTAAACTTAGATCGTCTGTAAAAACAAAAAAAAGTTTAAAGTGTGATTGGGATTTTAGTTCAAAACTTGACTCATGAGTCGTCTAGTTTTGTTTATTTTCCTAGAAAAAATATTCACAAACAAACCTTCGTTTTGTCTCTTGTCATTTCGCTGTCCGCTTTGCACTGGAGGGAAGTCGAACCTTAACTTCGAACTCCTCCTATGTTCTTCTGATTAATTTCGTTGCGGGTCCAATGACAGTTTAACTTTTCCCCAAGGACAAAATTGACCTTCACTGGTTGGATTTTTATTGCCATCAAGTTGTAGATCCTGGCTACACAGGAGTTGCAGCGCTGGGAACGAGATGTGGGAATAGTCCCGTATTTTAGACACAAAAAGGAGCAGAATGTGACGTGCAAAAATATTAAAATAAATTTGAATTTGAACCTTAGCGATGGTGTTTTTTCCATCCTATCGGTTTTACCGTTACCGGCTCTTTTTTGTTGCAACGGTAAATCGAGTATCAAGTTTATATGATAAAATTTTCCAATCACTAGTTTCTATACATATCTGTTGTTACAACTGTTCAATACGTAAGTAAGTACTATCTCTGAATCATAGGTAAGTAGTACATCATATTTTTATCTGCGAAGAGGGTACTTATTCTATTCATACTGTATTTTTTTTTTCAAAATATCATGTGTTAATATACAGAACGCAGTAAGTACCTTACTGAAAGATTCCTATTTTCACCTAGTTCAAATACTTACTAAAAACATATTTCAGCCTAAGCTGAACCATCATCGTAAATCTTCAATTACCTACATAGATAAAAGATGTGGTCCGCCAATACGGGTAATTATCCAAAACAACGTAAAAAATTTGTAGTTTGAAACGATACTGAAAAACCTACTTATCATACGAGACTACGCATAATTTGTAACAGCACGATTTTATTTTTTATCTACACTAGCGACACCGCTAGTTTTGTTGATTCTGTAGCGCAAAAGACGCACTGGAGATCCGGCTTAACAATGCTTGAAATAATGTTTCATACGCCTAATATTTTTAATGTAGCAATTTCAACTAACGTAGAACTATTGCTATTGTAATATTTCAGGTGTTGGGAAATTTTCTGGTTTCCAACTTTTGAACTAGATGGCGCTGGTTGTATGGCGCGTAAAATTGGCGGCAACTGCGTGTGTATTATTTTGCAATGTAATTTATTTTACTACCCCACTACATAAAGTAGCCAAATGTTTATAACTTATTTTTACTTGATTCATTGTAGCAGTTATTTTTTTCTTGTAGTAGGTAAAGGTTATTGAAGTTTAAATAGCAAGCACTTTTTCCAGCCTTTAGTTTTTTAAACACTAACCCTACTTACTATTACAATGGTAGGGTAGCGTAGCGAGGCGAATAAGAAGAGCAAGATACTCAAAGTTAATTACATAATAAAATATTATTTATTTCTATACTTGAGCCTTTTCTGAAAGTGGTTAATATTACTATTTGCCTACTACTACCTAGGTCACTTGTTAAAAATTAGCTTTAGCAAAATCAATCTTTAATCCAAATGACGAGGAAAATAATTCGCTGAAAAATACTTACATTTAGGTAATATCGAACAGTAGGTACTACTTACTTATTAAAATAATAATACGGATAAAAAACTGAAACAATTACATCAATAGCGTATAATAATATACCTAATCAGCAGCCTGCTTAGCAGCGATCGTTCCCTCAAAGTTCAAATGCCTCCCTATCCCGTTCGCATACTTTCGCACAATAACTAGAGTGCCGGCAAAGCCTTCTTTTCCATTTTATTTCCCATTTCGGTACTCCCACCACGCCAAGAAAATGGCCGACGGCGCTCTAGCCAGTGCCGCGCGAACCGCGACGCAGGCGCACGTTGCCGCGACCTGGCCACCAAAACAACGAAACGCGGTGTTCGAATTACGAAATTCAAATTTTCGAATCAGTGGAAGCAGTGCCCCTTTCTGTGACGTTCAAAAAAAGAATATCAGTGACAGATCTTCACAGTGCACCCTTTTGTTCTTTTGTTGTTTTGCACCAGCTGTCAAAATATTGCACAGCGACCCAAGGTGAGCTACCTGATTGATTTCTTAACAAAAATTAACTTTTGTTTTTACTTTTAAGCGTAATGTCATCGGATATTTTTGGATGTTAACGTAATCCTTTCTGTTTTGCAATTTTGCGCCGCCAAGACAGGTTTTGTCGTATCAAAAGTTATTCGCTAGACTATTCTGATAAATACTTTGGCCGATGCTATCTTATGTGTTGCAGAACGGGCGCTCAAATAAATTTTATGTGAAGCTGTAAATTGGTTTAAAATGGTTGTTAAATTTTGTGCGTGTGTTGTTTCGGTTTTATTGCTCCTTAAATCAGATGAATCGGTCTTGTAGCTAATTAAAATTTGGGTCATGGACCTGTTTGTTGTTCAGCATAGGTAATAAATACAAACAGTGACAGAGACAAAGAACTATAATGATAATAAAGAAAAACAATCGAATTAGTAGTTAGTTATTCGAACTAGATAGAAGACGATTCTACTAATATCTTCAATATTATTTTTATCAAAGGACTATGGAAGATAACAAAGCTTATTATTTTAGAGACCTAAAAGGGTACATTTAGGAATAATTTTGATAGGTTTCCACAACATTTCGATGTTACAAATCGGTGCCTTACATCCACTGCCTCCCGCCCGTACATCTTCGAGCCGGATAGTTCATCAGCGACCACCAGACCCTACAGTTGGTCTTTCATCCTTAAACCATTTCAGCATCGGGATGGAGTGCCTTACAACCACTCCATATTTTCTCGATTGCTTAAACCTTTATTATGTCTAAATATTTATTGTTGGGCAGGGCTAGGGCTCTAGGGACTTACTGTCTTAGGGAATAGGGACTCTAGGCTCACTAGGGAGTTAGTTCCCTTCCTGACCGCATATCCCGGGTACGGGAGCGGTGCCTTACAACCACTGCCTCCCGCCCGTACACAAAGACTTTTGAAACTCGTAGCAAATTCTCGATAGAAAATGTACCATTTCGATGCAAACCTCACACATTCTGTTAAGTATCTTTATGATTACCATAAAACAGATCATTATACTAATGTCGCTTTCGATAGAACTCTCACTCTTCTCGTAGTAAATACATCGGGTAATTTATATAACGTAACCTTAGACGAACCGTCATAACCGCAACGTATTGACGTTCTCGTGGTGAAACAATGAAAGGAAACACGGGGTAGTAATAATAAAGCTAATAGAGACAATAAAGACACTATAAGAGTCGTAGGAAATGCACCATGACATAAAGAAGTTGACCAAAGCTAAAAAAAAATAGAGAAAATGAAGCTAGCTACTTCCTAAAACATCAAAGCTTAACGCGATCCGTCTTACACAACCTAGAATCTTAGCATCAATGATATTGAAGGCTATGTCAATAATTTGATTTGTTGTGACTAAGGGTATAATAATGAATGATTAAAGACAAATTCGCGGAAAGTACCTGGATGCCGGCACCGCAGGACGGGGGTGGAGATTCGTGGTGGAGGCTTTTGTCCAGTGGACATCATTTTGTTGAAACTAACGAAAAACAATTGATGAAAACATAAGAACATTAAAAATCTAAATCACAATTCACAACTGATCCTAACGCGGTTAGATACGAAACTTTCTGTTAGCAAACCCTACATACAATAACTTATACTTATTAGCTATTTCCTGCTTGAAATCTTCAAAGCCAGCCGTAAAACAGTTCCATATTTTAGATTTCGCTGCAAAATACTGGTGGCTATCCCCACGTATGATTTATAGTCGGCCCACTTTCTATAGTATGCGATCTCCATGCAATATACAGATGAATGGCACAGCCTTCATTAATTCTGTACCCCACAACATTTTAATAATGAATCCTGTAGCAATGTTGCTAGCTGTTAATCAAAGTTTATGGGCTATGGCGATAGCCTAGGCTAGAAATAGTTTGGGTTATCTTGAAACTGTTAATATGGATAAACCTCAATCGAATCTTTTTCCTTTAGGTATTATGAAAACGCACTAAGATTCAGGAAAAAGTAGGTAACTATTTTTAATTAACTAATCATTACATAACATGACATTAGTCTGAGCAACTACCAACACCAGATCATCAT